GCCGTGTTTTCGTGCGAACGTAACGTGTCTGAAACTGTTGACGTGATGTGATCAGGGATATTTGCTCCAGAGTGTCGTCCGATAGACGCTCCATTAGGAGAGACACATCCACGAGGGGTTTGCAGTGTGTCACAACGCGAATGTAGCGGTCCTTCATGCCAGGATCAGTGACATCAGCCATAGCGGAATCTGTTTTTATTATACACAAGAATGGATGACTTCCAAAGCTGTAAACTACCGATTAGCCACAGTGCATCCGCCAGCTTTGAGTGGAATTCCTTGTTGTTGAAGACCTGAAGGAGGTGAATACTAACAGTTACGACAACCTACCCTGAATAGTTCAGAAAGAACCTTTGGAAGGATGTCAATCTTGCCATCGCCAACTATGAGTCTGATAAACAGATCACAAAGATTGCTGATGCAAACGTCAGGGTCCTCCTTTGACTGCTGCAAACTGTAAAAGGCAAGAGGTCCCGTAGAAAATAAAGGCAAAATCAAGCGAAATCGTACGAAGTACTCCAATGAAAAGGAAGATACTTGACTTAGTGCCTTAACCAACGTCAAATACAATAAGGTTCCAGATACTGTCCGTAGCATTTTACTTGGGCTACATGAACTAATGAAAAACGGTAACGTATGCCCAGACTGGCATTGGTGGGCGCGTAAATAACACGAAACAGCGGCATTTTGATGTAGTGCACACAGATGCAGTCTGCTTATGGAACTAGCTGAGATAGTGAGCTGATTTTAAAATTAGCAACGTTTGATTAAGAGTGTCTGTTATATCCAAATGACTATAACTTGGTGAAAAATAACTCACTCCAGGGAGCAAGCAGCGAACTTACCTGCGAGTGCTATGGACGGTGTAAGAGTAAAGATGCAAAAAGCGCAAAGGTCAAGAATATGTCTACCACAGAAGCTTTCATTTTTGGCTCAACGAGGCTGTACTATACGTGGCGATGACCGACGAGTCAAACAAAATGAGCGTGTCTTGCGTGCATACGTAAACTTCAAGAAACAATAACAATTGCATTTATCTTCATTTTACTCTCTGCCCCTCAAAAAGAGATGAGAGTTCCTGCAAAGAGAGTGAGGCCGAGTTCATGGGTTGTTTAGTCCAATCCCGGTCGTTTTCCACTAAACCAGGGCCGCGGCTGGTGGAGAAAC